AGGCCAGGCACGTATTTGTACCTTCATCTTGAATTTTAACGATACTTAGTTTGTTAGCCAAAATGTCTTGCAGGGTCTTGAAGCCAAGCACCGGTAGCTCTTGCAAGAAGCCCTCCAGCTCCTCTTTGACCTTCTCGGCTGGGTGCTTTCCTTTGCGGACTGCCTGCTGTCCTCCCTAATCTTGGCTCTGCTCGATGAGGTGGTTGAGTTATTCAAAGGTGACTCTGTACTTGCTCAGGAACAGTTCATACGCAGCCTCTGATATAGCAAACAAGTGGTCCACCATCTCACTCACTACCTCACTCGAACTACCTGCTGTCACAAAGCATACTGGTTCCTCGAAGTTCGGCACGTTGCTTGCCATGCTGCAACTCAATACTTCGTGGCGATTTTCACCACGGAAGTTTTACGCCTGGCCGTTGGAGTTGAGTTGGCACTCTTTGAAAGTAGGACTCAAAATCAAACGTGGCACAGTACAGGTATATACGATGATCGCGAGGGACATTTACACCAAGATCAGTCAGTTTAAATACTGTTTGAGGTAGACGATACGCACCACCCGGAAACTTAACTGTTTAACGTTCGATTCACACGGTGAATCTACGTTTTTGCACCGCTACTACGTAACCGCCATACAGGTCGTCCATCAATGACGATCTTTGTTTTTTTCGTTGCTTGGCCCTTTCCAACAATGTTACCCCTGTGCACATGGAGCGTGACACACAACATTTACTGAACCGGTTTGGCGGTGCAAATTGTGAGCCTTATTAAAACACTGACCACACTTTACGTTAGCATACAATTTGCTATATCTACTCAAGTCGGATATGTATGAAACGTGTGCACCGCAGAGATTCAAGTTCAAAGTGCGGGGGAAACGCCGGTACAAGCGGCGCACGAGCTCATCCCTTACTAGTTGTCTTCCTTGGTCATCTGTCTCCACCTCCTCTGAATCGCCATCCTCCCTCAGCACCAGCGAATACGCCTGAACATTGATTTCAAAGACTGTCTCTGCGTCGCCAAGGTCGTCAAGTGTAACTCCATTCAAGTTCGGTTTGCAGACCCCTTCCCTTCTTGTTGCACTGCTGACATCTGAAAACGTTTGGAGCAGGTGCATCATGGACATGACGCAGTCGTCTTTGCCTGTTCATGGCGAACTTCCGCGTGATGGTTTTCTCACAGTCAGGACAGGCGTACCGTGCATGGGGAGCTGGAGCAGGTCGTCCGACAACTGCGTTGATATTTTCACCTTTGAAAGAACAGAAACTGAAAGAAAAAAAGGTTAATATATATAAACATATATTTTTTTGTGTACCAGACAGACAGACACATCAACAAACAATCCCTCAAACAACGTTAATATCAGCATTTTTTTACAAAAAATGTGCGGGAATTAAACCGCACAGTCGGGGCAATCAAACGATCTTTGAAAAAACCTAAAACAAACAATAACTTACCATGGGTTCTTTAGACGGTACTGCCTTGACGTTTGGCCCGAACAAACATTTACATTCTGAAAGCAAACGATTAACCGTAGGGCAAGGTGTCAAAATCATCCACCACCACCCTCTTGTTATAGCAGATCCTGTAATCTTTGGACAGTGACTTTGAACAAATCGTTTTTGTTTTAGGATCCCTGGTTATATGGTGCAGATTTTCGTTGGTGAGGGGTTTTCTAGTGCCATCTTTACCATGTTAACCACCTTGTCAAAATTTATCTTCTGACTATTTCTGAAATTAAGCGTAAAACCTCGAACTTAACAGACCGTTTTCCCTGTGTCCAACCTTTACGCATAATTTTTTGGCCCACCCGAAACAAAACTGTCAATGTAATTGCCTTCTCCGGGACTCACTTCGTCCAATAATTTCCCCAGAAAGTCCCCGAGTGGCGGGGAGTACATTTTTGGCCACTCAATGAATATCACACTATCGGTGTCAAAATAGAGCACGAGATCTTGCAAATTTTTAGAAATACCATACAGTTTGAGTCACGCATGGGCGGTCGTGAAGGCAGAGATCACAACATTTGTTCGTGGGTTAGGCAATATAAATTCTTCGTCGGCAGAGAACTTCACCTCAGCAATTTGGTCATTAAAAAACTGGACGCTGTTAACGACCTTATCATCAGCAAACAGGAGCTCGTAAAGCCGGTTGGGCTCAATAACCACCTCAGTCTGCGCCATGTTTAATCTCTGCCCGAACTTACCCCAAAAGCTATTGAGCATAAGTTTTGCGAGCGCTCTGAGACCCGAATTTCGTACAAGTTTTTTACGCTTGAGCACAATTCCCTCTTTCTCCTCATACTCCTGGATGAACTTCTCAATATCTGCTTCATTTTTGCACCATTTCGGAATGCCAGAATTCTCCACTTTAATCTTCAAGAAGTAACTGACATACTCGGTGAACAACCCACCCGATTTCGAGGTCGGATCGTACTGTGCACACTGTTCAAAATGCCACACACAGTCTACACTTTGAACTGCATACCCTAACTCTACAGCCTTTTGTACTTCGAGGGAGACATAGGTCCCTCTCAAAACTCTTTCCTTGTCACTGTGCTGACAGGGGGCTTGCTGCTGTGTTTCAGCACAGGTTCTACACAGGGGAAACATTAGTTTTCCCGACGCTCTATGGGGAGAAGTGGATGATACATAGTGGACGGGGGAAGCACTGTGCATTTTATGAGCCCGTAATACTTGGACACATCTCGAAAATTATCGGTGATAATTGTGGGGTGCCCTTCGGGATAAGAACAGTATTTGTTCGTGTATGGGTACAACGAACAGAAGTCGACATATCTGATTTTTCATTGCCCTGTACCTGGTAAAACAATCGTGTCGCATTTGTTCGGCCACCAAAGAACGCATCTCTTTGATTGAGCTGATTTTTAGAAGGATCGGCTGCGTTTTCCTCCAAAGATTTGCGCAGTTCTTTATCCTGCAACCCTTCAAATTGTCTGTCCAATTCACATTCCCAGATGTTAACATAATCCAAATTGGTCATATTTTTGACAAACGCCTTCTTTTCTAGGGTGCGTGTGTACAACTCGTGCATTGGAACTTGGTGAAGATGGTGCACGGTTTCCGGCCTGTAACACTTAGGACACCCGTGCCAGAAGCAACCCTCAAACTCAAAGACTGTCTGCTTTGCTTCACAATATCCGTCCATTTTGAATTTACCAATTTTCAAATCTCCACCATTTCCAGCATGCCTGATGTGTATGCCTTCTGCGCGGCTTACATCATTTAACCACATGATCGCTTTCTGGGATTGTTTTTCATGCCTGTTATACCATCCAGGCGGCAAGACCGGTATTGTATTCTTAGCCAAAAAGTTGCCCCGGAAAATCAAGTTACACGCAGAGGCTATGGTGATGGTATGCTTTAACACCATGGTCCTCTGACCCAGTCGACGACGCCCGCATGAACAACTCCCAAAACTGTACGCAGCAGCGCTTCAGGATGTCAACATTGCTGATGCAGTAAGAAAGTAATTCTTCCTGCAGGTCAAAGGGGCGATTGAGTGTTTGCTGTGTCTCATACCAATCATTGAATTCTTGCCTGCGCTTGTTTGACATTGAATCAGGATCGTAGTATTGTTTGGACGGCAGGGGTAGCGCATAGTTTTGATTAGCCGCAGTATTAAACAAGTGAGGAGAAAATCCCTTCTTCATTTCATCCAAACCGAAGGTGGCGGGCATGGCCGACAGGGCCATAGGCAAAAAACTCATAGAATCAATGACCTTGCGGTTGAACTGAGGGATATTTATACACATGACCTTGGCACCGGTGTACACTACGGATGGAGTAACTGCATTTTTGTACAGGAACTCGAGTAGGAAGTATGAATCATACCCTTTAGCGTTAGGTGCAATAGCTATAGAATTCTCTGTTTTGGACGAGATAAATAACCACTCACAGAATTGGATCTGAGTATCTTTACCCTTAAATACTCTAGGAGAAGTACAGCATGAACATTGAAAATCGGGGGGCTTCCCCGCACAAATTTCACACACCATTTCAGCTACACAAAGATTGGGTATGTGAGTGCCGCTGTCCTGCGTACATTCAAAGTCAAAGAATATGTACTTCAGCGTTAGTTTGGCTTTCTTATTTCTTCTGCCCTGTTTTGACTCTGCCACTACTTCTTCCATTACGCTCTCCCCTCCTGTGGTTTCCCATCTCAAACGCTCTAGCACACAGGTCTTTCTCCACATTCTTTTCAATTGGCTTGATGTAACACTTGTGGTCAAATTGAACCATCTCTCTTCAAGTGGTACAAAACTTTTTCGTGCAAACATGCTTACCGCGCTTGGCAGTTACGGCAACACTCACGTACACATCACATCGCTTACAACAATAAAACGACTGACACACTGTTTTCTTTCCTGTTACTCTCATCTTGTGATTATTAAAGCATGTCTGACTTTTGAAGTTACGATTGCAATTGTTACAAAGAACCCATTGTTCAATTTCACCTGTCTTGCATCCCAACAAGAAGCAGAGCTTGCACGAGATCTTACAGACGTGGTTCAATTCACCACTTTTGTATCCGGTCTGACATACGTTGCAATAGTTACTACGGTTCAGAAAACCTGGCGTAAAGCGTATGCCATCATAATGCCCCTCGGCCAAATGCAGATAAATTGTACGAGGTTTTTCTGGCCCCTTGAAAATGCAAGCGTAGCAATGTTATCTAGAGAGAACAATAAGCCTGTAATTCTCTAAGACATCTTGAAATTGCTGAAGCTCATCAATCCCACCCAGCATTCCTTCTACAATTCCCGCTCTCTTGTGCAAATCGGTAACTAGCAGTGCAATGTGGTTCTTTCTGTTCTTGAGAATATAAGTTAAAGCATTGCCTTCTCTTTCTTGAAGTGCTTGGCCAACTACAATGGCACGGGCCAGGCACGTATTTGTACTTTCATCTTGAATTTTAACGATACTTCGTTTCTTAGCCAAAATGTCTTCCAGGGTCATGATACGGGTCTGGGGTGTTGGTCTTACCTCTCCTCGGACACTTCATTTGTACAAAATAAATGGTATCATCAAATCGAATAAATTGATAGCTATTTAACATGGTCTCTATCCTTCCAAACAATCGTTCGGCCGATAATTGATCCATGCGCATGAACGGGAGGGATATAAGGAAAATCAAGACAGGTGAATTGAACACCATGCGAACCCTATCGTTATGCTCTACACCATACCGTAGACGCCTTATAATGCTCTCAAATATATCATTCAAGAGGGGCAAAGTCTTGTGAAGGCTCGCCTCTTCCATATTTTGAAACTGGATGTTATAATCATAAGTATGCGCCTGAAACTTCTTGATGTGTTTTTCTTTAACACTCATGATGTTGTAGCAATCCTCTGGCGCTGCTGTCCGAAGTCTCTTGGATGGTGGCTCGTCCAAGCTCCACTCAGGGTCCAAATCAGCGTCGGTAAAAGATGGAAGGCTCTCCTCGTCCGAATCAATCTTGACAGAGCCGGGGCTAGCACCAGCTACCGGTCTAGATCCTACCCCGCTTGTTCCAAGTTCACTACCCCTGCTGACACGGCCGTGGTCTGAAACAAATCAAGCATGAGTCATTAGTTAAGCGTAGACTAACAGCTCAAAACAGATTTGTGCAAAATTAGACGGTACAACGGTGTACACAAAACAAGCTTGCAAAACAGATTTTTTTAAAAAAGTTTTCTTACCTGGCATGAGAGGTTGGTTTTCCCTGTTAGCGGGCGGGTGCTCGCTCCATCCTGCACCTGCCTGGTCATACTGACTGAGTTCCGAGTTCCCCACGAGATGAGCACACAGTTGTTCATTTTCAAACAAGAGATCTTGTGATGAAAAGGGATGATCGCTCGAATCCAGCAGACCGTCAATTTCAGCAAGCCGAAGTTCTAAGGTACATGTATGTTGCTCAAACTGTGTCAGTGCAAAGAACTCGAGAAAAAACATCCATTTTTCAGCCGGGTAAAGATGCACATCTTCTGCGCTGTACATGATGACGGGAATACGCTCAACAAACTGGCTGTTCCATTTGAATTTTCTGCCTGCTTAAATTACGATTCGTGGCTCCTTGTTTTTTCCAAACCTGCGTATTCTGTCCGATCAAGATTTTAAGGTTATGTACAGTTTTTCTAAGGTTGTTTACAAAATGTGCTTTAAGTGCGAGAAGTCTGTTGTGGAAAACCATTAGCACCTTTACAGGGCTTCAAATGCAAACAGTTGATAAGAGACGTCCTGTGATTGGCTCTACTATACTGAGTTTTGATTGGTTGACCTCCGGATCTGTTTCAGAATCCTCCCGCCGAGTATTGATACAGCCCCCTCCGTTAAATTTCCTGTTCCGAGTCTGACGCGTTACATAACGCACAAACACTCGTTGATTTCTTTGTCTGACTCGCAGTTCTCCCGCGCATTTTGGATACCGTTTACCCTATAAGTGAAATGAGTTTAGACACGTTCACAGTAACATCATTATTCATTTATGCAAATGACGTGATGATGTCATGCATAAATTTACATAAAGTGTCTTATCAAGGCCCAATACACTACTGACAATGCACTGAAATCTTTCACCCATAGAGTGCAAACGTTAAAACACAGGATTAAATAAGAAACTAAATTATTAAGCCAACAGAAAACATGATGTGTTTTGGGCAATCATTTCTGTATAAATCCAGCTCTCGTCAAGACGTAGGACGTAAGATCTTTCATAGTTAGTAAATTATTTTTCTTTTCCAAATTGTAATTCAGCATGACCACTTATTGGAAAAGTTATACTAGTCGGAAGCTCAAGGCGTCCAGAATGTCACTAGAACAAATGAAAAGACACAAAAGATATCCTTTTATAAGCAACATTATATACATGTATTAACAGACAGTAAGATCTTCGAGTCCGGGATGTAGTGATCGATGCCATATCCAGCTATATCATCCTGGGTGTGAAGACAACACTGGAGTTATAACACAGACTGTAAATTGAAGATTACCATATTAAATTAAAAGTTGACAGCTAGTGTGTATCAACACGAAAATGTCTCTCAGCAACTAAGAATTGGGCAGTGGGCATCGCAGAACCCAAGAGGTGGAGTAAATTTGCTAGGGATTGAGAATGAGACGGGGTCGAACTAAAATACACATAGGTGTGGAGCATTGCAGTGTCATTGATGTCCTTGAAAACATTAAGTTTTGAGTATGTCTTTCACAAAAGAAATCTTTTAATTTGGTATTATAATCACTATATCGGGTGTCCGATTGGGTCGAACACCCACCGTATGAAGTTGTATAACTATATTAACGGAACAATGAACAAAAAAATGATGGTTGTGTTTTTCTATTGCAGTGTGGTATTAAAGTACACTATGCTAGGGGCTTCTCTAATTTAACTACCCACCCCCAGAGTTTCTTCTTTTTCCAGCTCGGGTGCTGGTGCAAAAACTGACAGATTCAGGTTAGTCACTTTAGTCACTTGTCCGTAACCAATTACTCGATTGCATAGTGGACATTTGACATCATCACTCCTGCAGTGCTTAAAATAAGCACTGAGACATGTGGCACAAATTATGTTCACAAGGAGTTTGAACTACTGGCCTGCTTAATATGCACTGACAGATGGGACATATGAAAATGCCTCCTCTCTCGTCAATCAGGTCCAAACTAATGGGTACTGGAACTGTTGTCAAGGTTTTGTGCAAATATTGAAAGATGTTCTCATCANACGAGGCAACCAAAATTCTTTACGTTGGGAAGTAATTTTAACGTACATTTCAATGTCGCAGATTCAGACACAGTGGTCTGACCCAGTGACGAAATGAATCATTTTGAACTTGTTACACATTGGCCTTTTATTTGCGTATATTGGTTTTTTGGAGAACACCCCGGTTCTCTGTTTCTGAGGTCTTTTCGTCGTCCACATTGCACGCAAGTACGTTGATCAAGTCACAGAAAATTTCAGCGTTAACAGTTCCTGGAGGCAAATAGCGATCTATTTTGTGATTTCTGAGTGGAAAAATTAGTTTTACAGTCCTCCGTCAATAAGACATATAATTCTTTGAGTTAATCTGTTTTTTATCGAGAATTATTTCTGCACGGAATTCCGTGCTTGGGGAGCGCCATCTTGTGTGACGTCACACGCATGAGTGGAGTTAGAAAACAAGGAACAAACGAATATCGGTACTTATTTTACGCTAGCGCTATGTGGGTGGAACGGCCATGAAGGGTGTAGAACTTGGGGAGGCAACCCTGAATGGCAGTGAATGAAAAAGTTATTGTGTACATTTCCACGTCACCTTTGTCACACAACTTCTGGAGTTTTTGTGATGTCGACAACTTAGTAAAATCATTTTGACATATACATGTAATTAAAGTCCAATCACGAAAATCATAATGAGTTAAAGTTAAAACCTACTCGTTCAAAAAGTCGAGGAATACAAGAGTATATAGCTGTATAAAACCACAGAAATACATGAGAATGAGTGTACAGGTACTGCAATCCTGTCCATGGCCGGCATATACATGTACATGTAGTACAAAGCAAAGAAGGTAACAAACTGACAAATACCTTAAGAAAAATGAGCAAATAACGAATAATGATTAGAAGGTACATTAGACATTACATAACTTCAGTGAAAGTTCATACTACATCATGAACACGTTTCTTCAAGAGACTAATTACAAAGTGTGAACTCTCGAATACAATTATGTTCATCTTCTGCACTTATATGCTTTAGACTGCTTGGTTTTTGGTATGTGGAAGTCTCAGATCAATTTATCAGGAATATTTTCTTCAGGTTCCCAAGTTGTTGTGTTTTTCCCTTTCCACTTCACTTGATAATGACGCTTGCTATTGATAGTGGCAGATCATCTGAGACTATGAACAATAAACCAATCACTATGACCTTGGTCATTAGTGTCTGGTGGTTTATTGCCAGAGGGCTGTGTGGGACTGCCCAAGACAACAGGTGGAAGTTGTGGCACCTGTTCATTGTCAGATTGAGTGGGTTTAGAATTAAGTGGGTCCTTAGCAGGGTCACTGATAGTGTCACTGCCCTCATATTGGTCAGCACCGAGCTCAGTGTGGCTGTCTAAGAAAGTGAACCAGTCTGTCTTTAGGATCATGGTATTGCTTCAGCCGATTCCCGTGGACTGGGGATAACATAAGTTTGTTATCACTACACCTGCAGAAGTTTGTAGGTGAAGTCGTCACAGATATAGTAAGGCCCTAGCCACTTATGGCACATTTTAGGCGACAAGCCAACTTGAAGTTTTGCAGAGTACAACCATACTTTTTGTCCTTGATAAGCTGGGGGGGTTAGGTTTCTTGTCAAACTGGGATTTCCAAGTTAGCCCACACAACACTTAGGTCATAACCATTTGGACACTGTTGGAAGGAAATGGTGCATAAATTCATAAACCAAATGGAACTTTCTTGAACTGGTAATCGCCACTATGGGATGTGAAAGCTGTTTTCACATGGCTATCTTTATCCAAAGATATTTGCCAAAATCCTGACACGAGATCGGCTACAGTGAATATCGAAGCATGTGATTCACCTATGGTGTCATATACATCATCAGGTCGTGGTAGAGGGAAAGACATGGGTTTTGTGACTCAATTGAGGCGACGGTAATCGATAGCAAAGCGGAATTCGCCATTCTTCTTTTTCACAAGAACAACCGGGCTAGCCCAGGGTGAGGTTGATGGTTCTATTATGTCAGCATTGAGCATATCTAGGATTTGCTTGTCAATTTCTGCCTTATGAACAGGGAAGTGGATTGTTGTTGGATTGGTTTTGCGTCACCCATGTCTTTTCTGTGGTGATGAACATTGGTGGTGCCCAAATCAGTTGCATCTTTCGCAAAAACCTCCTTGTTCTGAGCCAAAAATGAGATAAGTTGTTGCTTTTGATCTGTTGTTAAATCAGAATCTTCCATAGTGATAGCAAGTTCCTCTACAATGTCAGGGTGCTCAACACTTTCAGTTACAGTGTGTCACATCTGTTTGTTTTGTCTTAACCGTGGTGGTATCATTTCCGTTGACCTTAAAACTTTCAATACACATAACAGAGAGTGGCTCCCAAAAGCCAACCACTTGGTTACGTTTATCTGCACGGAATTGACAGCGGGATTCATGAACTGATATATAGTGTTACCATAAACAGAATTAACAACATACTTAGCGCCTAACTGTTTGTCATCATATAAGTTGGAACAGGTTCAATAATGCCGTACTGAGTCTTAATATTACTACATTGAACAGGAAGTACAGTCTGTGCTCTGTGTGGCAATGATACATTACACACTGCCCTGACAGTTACCTTCTTTGCCTCTTTACCTACTAATGGAATAAAGGGGAATCAGGGAGCACTACATGATTTTCCTCATCTTGGCCTTTGCGCTTCAAGAAGTCTATACCAAGAATGATTTCATGGTTCATAGTTTCCAGGATGTAGAAAGGATGCCTGAAATTCTGCTCTCCAATAGCAAGCGGCAGAACAACCTTGCCCATAACTCTGGTTACATGGCCAGCAACACCTGAAATAAATGGCATGTCTGAACGTCCCCAAGGGAAGTGATCTTGAGGAAAATGCTGCGCGTATGTGTATTAATGCACCTGTATCAAGTAACGCAAATCAATTATCGAAGCCAATTTTTATCTGGACTAGATTGCTTCCGCTTGACATGGCAGAAACATTAGTAAGGTGTTGAACAGGAGGTGTCTTATTTTTTAGTCATTGATTTGACGGGTGTATATCATTGATGGTGTTAGATCTGTTACGTTGGAAACACACTCTAGCGAAATGACGGAACTTATGACAATAGTTACATTCAATACCCCAGGCCGGACATGTTTGCCTACTTCTACACTCACCTCCACGTCCACGGCACAGGTACATCATCATCATCAGGGCCTGGCCAGTTGTGCTTGCTGCTGTCCTCAGCCTTACTGTTGGCGTTGGAAAACTGGGGGGTCGGTGGGGGTGGAACTGATTCTGTCTTGCGCTTGGTAATTGCTGGGTAGTTGGCTGGGTGGCTGAGATGGTCGTCAGCAGATCTTTCAGGGCAGTTATTTGGGCCGGTAACTGTACGTTCATGTTCTTTGTGCGTGGTATGCTCCTTACCTCTTCAGACATAGCAAGTTCTACCAGACGTGCAGCAAAACCAAGGATGGAGCTGTTCTTGTTTTCTTGGAAGCAATTATCCATCTGAAGAAAAAGCTTTTTTCCCAATTTCTCTCTCTATGCACGACGTGTGTGTGGAGAGTGAATTGTCAATTGCTGTCATGCAGTTCTTCTCTTATGATCAATGAATACCATCTGAAGTCTCCCCTCTGAAACTACTGTGTTCATCAATACACCTGGACAGATTAATGTACAGATGCTTGGTCACGCCTGAGAGGGGTGGGCACATCAGTTTTTGACTGTGCCATGCCATTAGTTATAATCGTGGTTTGATCTGCCCGATGACACCTTGCCTGTTCTCTTGCAATGTAATTTCCTCTCCGTTCATTCCTACATGTACACAGATACGCGTACATGTACATGTACGTAGCCATTTTGACAGATATTCAAGAATTAACAGACTTCCAGTGTACTGGTTTAAAACTACAGGTATGAATGATATTTTAAGGAGACATCTTCGTGTATCGGCTCTTAATTTTACTCCATTTCATTCATTCGTGGCATCATTCATTACTGGTTTATAATTAAAATCTCAATTACAGCCACTGGTTGAGATCTTTACATGCATACATCAAAAATTAAAGATAAAAAGCTAGACATAAAATACAAGAAAATACAATAACAATATAAACAGCAATAAATAAATAAGAAATTGAATAAAATTGATTTTCTGTCTCGGGGGAAATGAGCTCTTTCATGGCAGGATGCCTCCTCAGTTAGCCCTTGCAGTTCTTGTAGAGACCGTCAGGGATGGCTAGAACCCTTTAACCCTTAACACGCTATGGATTTTTTTAAACACGTATCCTCTGCTGCTGTATTTCCTGTGCCGGGGAACTTTTTTTAGACCCGCAATAAGTCAAACGGCATTTACTTGGTGAAGGAAGTGTTTTAGAGGGATATGCAAAATAAAACAAATGTTCCTGATGAAATTCCTCATCTATTGATACAAAATATTTGTTCTTGGTACAGTAACATGCAGTAACTGCTTTCCAGCTATTGACATAGCTCACCTCATGAAGGTAGACAAATACCTTCTTCCACCACTTCAATGTCTTGTGGATATTCAAGTAATACCACATACCCTGGTCTGCACGATCTACTCCTCCCATGTACTTGGTGTAGCATTCGATAACTGCAGGCTTATCCACCTGGCGCGGATTGTTCTGGCCTCGTGCATGAACATTTTTTTTAATGTTGTCGCATTGTGCACAGTTGAGATGGCATTTACCTGTCGTTTGTCAAACCATGACAAGTACAGGGCTTTTCCATCGCAAACAGAAAGAAGGGGGTCACTGGCTTTCAGCTTAGCTTTTTTTATTTCATCTGATGTTCCGACACGGTTGGTCCGGAGGGTTCCACATGCCCCTGTACCATGGTTGCTGACATCATGAAACAGGGTAGGGGACGTAAACAAATTTTCCTTGTAAACATGGTGGCCCCTATTATATACAGGCTGACACAGAGTTGTGACAACATCATGGTACAAGCCCACCTCAGCTTGGTTATCCTGCTTGCCTTGATAAAGTTCC